AGCTGAAACTGCTCAGCTGTGAGACAGCCAGCGTGGGTTTGGCAGTCTGGCCCGTCACCAGGCTCAGTGTTTGCAACAGGAGGACTTTTGTTGGCAGCAAAGTAGGTCTTTTTTCTAAAAAGTATCACAGTCTGTCTGTACGCGAGTAACAATCCAGCAATTCCAATGGCTTTGTAACGACTCTTGGGTGGGCTCTGAGATGGGTGCTGTGAAGGAAGCTGATGTTCACAACAGGTCTCACTCCTTAAAATAGACAAGAAAAATAGACAATCCGGAGGAGATTGCCCTAATCACAGCTGTGCAGTGAACAGCTGAGAACCAAAATGAGTGTGTTCCTCCTCCAGCTAATTAACAAAGCTCCAACTAAACTGCACAGGTGTGCAACAGTGAGGATATGATTTCACGTGACCACACACACAAGGCTGGGCATTGCATGTAATCAGGACAGCACAGAAAGCTCCTACCCCCAAAAATAGGGTAAAATTAATCCTGCAGAAGGTAAGCTTTTGGAAGGGGTAAGTTGAGGATGGCCTGAGGTCCAGTTCCCGTGTGATAGTTGATGGGACTTTTCTGTGTTTTGGAGTAGTTACCCAATGTTTTCAGGGTGGAAAATAAGAACAGGCAGATACCAATCCTGTGGAAATTTGTAATTTTTGTATCCTGTCTAATCTGAAACCTGGTAATTTGAAATGCTGTGGCAATTCATACCAGTGTGTGTGTGTGTGGGTACGTGTGGGATGGGGGTAGGGAGTTGGAACTGATGGGTTCTGCTGATGAAACACTCTGTGTATTGACTTCATAGAGCCTCCATTTGTTCACTTTCACATCCTGATTTCTAGTATCACAAAAGTAAGTTGGGTCAGGTGGAAGTGACTAAACAGATCAAAACTATTTCAGCTTTATTCAGATGTATTATTGAACCAGTGTGAATTCTAGGTTGGCGATGCTGTCAGAATCTCCCAGTGTGCGTCACTAAGACCTCTTGACCATCTTCTGTTCCAGGGCATGATGATGGCCCTTCAACACCTTGTGCCTTAGCCCACAAAGCCTACATCAAAGTGCAGTATAATGTCATATGTTTTCAGAATCCCTACCAAGAAGGAGGGGAGCGTGTAACAGAAAGACATGATATCCAACTGATTTTGTGCCTCACCCTGTCCAATTTTAACCGCAAACCTGAAACCATTTGATTACCTTTTGTGTTTAGAGTGAGGATGCCTGGCATCTGTTAGAAAACCAATACAGACTGTGCTGCTATTAGGCATCAGCCTGGCCAAACAGCCTGGAAAGGGAGTGTTTGGTTCATTTTAACACGTAAGCATAGGAGGTCTGCTCAAATCTAACTTCACTTTTTAATGAGGTTTTTTTTTGTACTGATTTTCCAAAGATTATGCTGTGAGAAATTATGTCAGGAGTTAACTGACATTTGAACACTTTGACGGTTTTCAGCAGTGAGAGTTGTCCCTTGCCTCATGTTTTTTTCCAGGTAATGCAAGGGTCCATATAGCGAAAATAAGCAATTTTTTCCCCCACTGATGACAATTACTGATCATGAAATTTGGCAGCATAAATTTTGAAAACTATGGGACAAGGGACGTTTGCTCTGAGGGAAGACCTAGGGGGAGGGAGGGAGGGAACTTCTGTAAAGGTAGCACATGGGCAGATCCATTTAGTTATTCTGGGAATTCCTGCAGTAGACCACACAAAGTTCTTACTGTGCAAGTGTGTTCTCATGAAGTATCCAATCCTTAGTCACTGTGGCTGTCCCACGCTCATTGGGTTTAGAAAGGAGAATGGAAATGATCAGATTCCCGATTTAGTCTTTTGAAGAGGACTTCATGGCTGTTGGGTGATTCTTCTGATTGTCTTGGATGTAGTTAATGATGGTTTTGGAACCCCGGAGCTCAGCAGTACTACTAATGTTCCTTTGCCTTCCTGCTGCACCGAGGTGTAGGACATCCCTTTTCCAGCTAATGGAGGGGAAAAGCCCAAACATTATGTCAAAACAGTGTGTTATGTGGTCAATCTTTTTGACTTCAGGCCAGCCAAGGAGAACAAGGAAGTTGAGTGCAAGAGAAACAGTATTAACACTCTTTTATAGGAAAAATATTTTAAAACCTTCAGAAAAAAACTTGCTGAGCCTCTTTACAATTTCCAACAAAGCATTTTATTCCAATGCTCTGCATTATTTCTAAAGTATTCTAGAGAAAATATGTACTGAATGCCAGAAATAATACATCTTGCTGAGACAGATTTAAAATAGCAAGTGTTATGAAAGGCTATACACAAAACCAAAAATGGCTGAAGGGATTGATCAGAGCGGAAATGGAAGAGAATATCTATAGGATACAAAAAATTTACAAGAATAAGTCTGGCAAATAAATTATTTGAAGTCTATTGCCTGGATCTTTACAATAGCTTTTAAAATATTTTTTACCAAATTCAACACAAGAAGGAATATATGCAAGACATAAACCAGAAATATCAGACTTTGTTCATAAAGGCAATATCACAGATTTTTTTTAATAGACAAAAATATATGCAACAATGGGAGATACAGAAATTCAATAATGTGTAAATATCTGTCGTCCATTAGTAACAGCAAACAGCTGTATTAACTGAAAAGCGTATGGCCATCAGTCCAACAAACCACATCTTTCCACTAGTTTCCATGGAATAAATAATCTGGTTTGTTTTAAGGTAAAAAGAGGTTTGAAGTGCGTGATTCAGTTACTTTTAAAAACACTTTTAAAATAAATGTTGATATAGTCTTTCCTCTCTTTCTGAAAAAGAATATGGTTCCAGCTTGGATTTCCTTTTCCACTGGTACACTAGTACCTGTGAAGTCTGTAGCACAAATGTACAGTTTATCCATTAGAACTTGATTGTCTTAGCTGCTAATGAGATCCTAAATAAAGGCACGCAGGAAGCCTTTTCTCCCTTTAATGATTATTCCAGTATCAGAAGGGTGACAGAACCCAGGGCCAGGGGGGTTGTGTCTCAACGTAATGCATTTTGTGTGGGACTCTGACTAGGCCACAGCGTTCCAAAGGCAGCCATTTCATAAGTAGGAAATTTTGCTCATCTGGACACTTAAGAAGCCACCTTTATGTTTCTGTTTAATACTAGGTGAGTCCAGATCACAGAAGAGGTCATGAATTATTATTATTTGCATGCTTCTCAGCAGTTCTGGTTTCCAAGTTTGCTGAGAATCAACCAAAAATGGAAGCATGCCCCTCCCCAAAATAGGCAGCTAAATTAATCTATGATGCAATATTGTAGATTTTTAATGGCATTAACAGTGACAGAATCTTTTTTTTTTTTTTTTTTTATGAGACCATCTCACAGAGTTGGTGATTCTGGGCCCTTGTTTCTGCTCACTGAAGCAGCCTTCATTTATAATCAGGAATATGGAATCAAATTAAGTTTGAATTGGAATCACCAAGAGGAAGTCATGCTTGACCAATCTGTAGCCTTCTATGATGGTGTGACTGGCTGGGTAGACAAGGGGAGAGAAGTGGATGTTGTCTACCTCGACTTTAGCAAGCCTTTTGACACTGTCTTCCATAATGTCCTCATAGGTAGGTAAGCTTAGGAAGTGTGGGTTAGATGAGTGGACAGTGAGGGGGGTTGAGAACTGACTGAATGGCAGAGCTCAGAGGGTTGTGGTCAGCGGCGCAGAGTCCAGTTGGAGGCCCGTAACTGGTGGTGTTCCCCAGGGGTCAGTACTGGGTCCAGTCCTTTTCAATATATTCATCAACGGCCTGGATTAGGGGACAGAGTGTACCCACAGCAAGTTTGCTGATGATACAAGACCGGGAGGAGTGACTGGCACCCTTTTGACACTGTCTTCCATAATGTCCTCATAGGTAGGTAAGCTTAGGAAGTGTGGGTTAGATGAGTGGACAGTGAGGGGGGTTGAGAACTGACTGAATGGCAGAGCTCAGAGGGTTGTGGTCAGCGGCGCAGAGTCCAGTTGGAGGCCCGTAACTGGTGGTGTTCCCCAGGGGTCAGTACTGGGTCCAGTCCTTTTCAATATATTCATCAACGGCCTGGATTAGGGGACAGAGTGTACCCACAGCAAGTTTGCTGATGATACAAGACCGGGAGGAGTGACTGGCACACCAGAAGGCTGTGCTGCCATTAAGCAAGATCTGGACATGCAGAGAGGAACAGATGAAGTTCAACAAAGGCAAGTGGAGGGCCCTGCACCTAGGGAGGAATAACCCCATACACCAGCACAGTTTAGGGGTTGACCTGCTGAAGAGCAGCTCTTCAGAGAGGGACCTGGGAGTCCTGGTGGACAAGTTGACCATGAGCCAGCAATGTGCCCTTGTGGCCAAGAAGGCTGGTGGTTTCCTGGGGTGAATTAAGAAGAGCATGGCCAGTAGGTCAAGAGAGGTTCTCCTCCCCCTCTACTCTGCCCTGGTGAGGCCACGTATGGAGTAATGTTTAGTTCCGGGCCCCCAAGTTAAAGAAAAACAAGGAACTATTGGAAAGAGTCCAGCAGAGGTCTACAAAGATGATCAAGGGAATGGAGCACCTCTCTTATGAGGAAGGCTGAGAGACCTAGGTCTATTTACCCTGGAGAAAAGAAGACTGAGAGGGGATGTCATCAATGCTTATAAATATCTAAAGGGTGGGTGTCAAGAGGATGGGGCCAAACTCTTTTCAGTGGTGCCCAGTGACAGGATAAGGGGCAACGGCCACAAACTGGAACACAGGAAGTTCCATCTGAAGGTGAGGAAAAACTTCTTTACTTTGAGGGTGATGGAACATTGAAACAGGCTGCCCAGAGAGGTTGTGGAGTCTCCTGTTCTGGAGACAAAATCCCACCTGAATGCAATTTTGTGCAGCCTGCTCCAGCTGACCCTGCTTTGGCAGGGGCGTTGGACTAGATGATCTCCAGAGTTCCCTGCCATTCTGTGAATTCTTGCATCACACAAAGACAAATGCTCTCGTGTTTCTTACCTATTATCATAAACAATCTCCTCCCCCTCTACTCTGCCCTGGTGAGGCCACGTATGGAGTAATGTTTAGTTCCGGGCCCCCAAGTTAAAGAAAAACAAGGAACTATTGGAAAGAGTCCAGCAGAGGTCTACAAAGATGATCAAGGGAATGGAGCACCTCTCTTATGAGGAAGGCTGAGAGACCTAGGTCTGTTTACCCTGGAGAAAAGAAGACTGAGAGGGGATGTCATCAATGCTTATAAATATCTAAAGGGTGGGTGTCAAGAGGATGGGGCCAAACTCTTTTCAGTGGTGCCCAGTGACAGGATAAGGGGCAACGGCCACAAACTGGCACACCGGAAGTTCCATCTGAAGGTGAGGAAAAACTTCTTTACTTTGAGGGTGATGGAACATTGAAACAGGCTGCCCAGAGAGGTTGTGGAGTCTCCTGTTCTGGAGACAAAATCCCACCTGAATGCAATTTTGTGCAGCCTGCTCCAGCTGACCCTGCTTTGGCAGGGGCGTTGGACTAGATGATCTCCAGAGTTCCCTGCCATTCTGTGAATTCTTGCATCACACAAAGACAAATGCTCTCGTGTTTCTTACCTATTATCATAAACAATTGCAAAATCGATGTTATTTGCCTTTTACTGCTACAAAGGCAATATGAAGAGACTTCTTTTCCCACCTCGCTCAACTAAACCAAGAACTGTAAACAAAAGATTAGCGTAGTTTTTGGTCAGGATGGCAGAAGCAGAAGGATTATGTTCCATTTTAGGCCCTGGTGGAAGTTTTAGAAATTCACTATTAGAAAACCAGTTGAACTTTTTGACAGATAGGCAGTTGGCGATTGAGAACTTCAGCCTGTAGTATTTTTTAATGTTGTTTTAATTAAAAAACCTTGTTCTTTTTTTAGTCATACAAGTACCCCCAAGTTTTATGCTTTGTGTCCTGCTTCCTTAAAATTTTTTAGATGAGGGCATATTTTATATTTGCTGGTTTTGTATGTATTACTTTTCCTACTTAGAGCGTTCGAGTTTACTTCCAGCATTATCATCAGAACAGTATCTTTTATCCTGCACTGATAAAAGTGTGAGATGAGGTTCAAATGAGTGACCTGTCTAAAAGAAGACCACTCTGAAGGTGCTTTCAGACATCACAAAGGATAGGCTAGGGAAAAAGGATATGGAGAACATGTTATCTTCTTAGTCGATTCACTGTATGTACAACCATCTCTTGACCAGATTGTGTCTGGATACTTTGAGATGTCATAGCTCAGTTTGCTTGCATTCTTCCATGAGAATTTGGTTCTGCATTGTCACGGCAGGAAGGTAATCGTTGACTGGGTCTTGAATGCTTGTAGGAATTTGACCTATCCCTCGGCTGATTCTCTGCCCATAAGAGCCGCTGCTGTTTTTGGCTGAGATGGTCTGACCTCTGTAGACTTGAGCCTGATGCTCACATATACCAAACTTGCTTAGTAGGATAAACACATCTCTTCGGAAAGCTTTGGTGAAAATAGCATAAAGAAAGGGGTTGGCGCAAGAATTGAGTGGGTAGAAGAGTACCAGCAAAATCTTGGAATTGGTGACAGTGATCAGTGGTTTGTTCATAATGGCAGATAAAGCATGGAAAGAGATGGGAGCCATGCACAGAAAGTCAGTGAAAATCAGCACAGCCATCCGCTTGGCAATTTTGGTGTCTTTGTCCCCTGACTTGTACTGGGGGTTTCGCACAGTTACATAGATTTTTATGTAGCAGGCACAAATGATGACAAAAGCAATAATGTTACATATTAAAACGAAGACAACGTAGGCTTCAGCCACGGTGGTTTCGGTGTCCATAGGCAAGCAGATGCTGACTTTGCTATAGCTGCTGACACCAACCAGTGGCAGAAGGGCAAGAAGAAAGCAGGAGAGCCACCCTCCCAGCATGATGACCAGGGCATGCCGCAGGCGAATCTTTCGGTCCGGGCGCATGGCAAAGGTGATGGCGTACCAGCGCTCCAAGGTGATCACCGTCAGCGTGTAAACAGAAAGTTCACTAGCAAAGACGGTGAAAAAGCCAGCTGTGTTGCAGCCAGGTCCAGTCTGCCACTCTATGGCGTGGTTATAGTACTCTGACCTGGTGTGGAGATCCACAGAAGCGATCAGGAGGAGGTATAACCCCATGCAAAAATCCGCAAAGGCCAAGTTGCACATCAGAAAGCGTGGTACAGTCAGTTTATAATGGCTGGTGAGAAGGATGAAAAGGACAAAAATGTTACCTAGGATGGCCAGCAGGTTCACAAACCACACCACAATCCGCAGAAATTGATATCCCATTATATCCTCACAGGGATTAAACTCATCAGGCTCTGGAGTGCAAATTACATCTTCATTGCCTCCGCAGATAGGATAGTCATAATGACTGTCAAAAGTCTGGACATCTTCCATTTGAGGGTTCTTGAGCTCTTGGCCAAACCCAAAATTTCCTTCTCCGTGTTCTTCCAAAAAAATATAATAATGGGAATTTTCATGGAAATTTGTGAACTTGGTGTTTTTGTCATATATAGAATCGGTATGGTCTGTGTATTCTTCTGCATAGTCTTTGTAAAATGGACCTCTGAGAGTTTTGACTGATCTTCTTTTACGAAAGCTGTGACTGCTGCTCTGGTTACATGTCAGATACTCCAGGATTCTGAAAGAGTAGAGGGGGAAATCACCCGCTGGCCTTTATGGTCTGACTGGAGTGCAGCGAGTAAACAAAGGCAACATTCACCGTGAATGAAAATGTAGCTATAAAAATGTGATCGGGTATATTTCTGTTAATAGAATGTATAGTGAACAATAAGCTTGAGCATTTCTGGGCTTTTTTTTAAACTATATTATTCTTTTCTCTGTTGCTATCAGCTATCCCCAGTAGTAATTTGGCTTGTTCAGCATCCCTAATTCCTATTCCTTCTTGGGATTTGCTTTCTTAGTAGGTAACAAGACTTTTGTCAAATACAATTGTCAAGTACACCTATATTTGTAATTGAAAATTGTTCATGCTTTTTAGTAGGAAAAAAAATTGAAATTTGGCATCAAGGTTTTTTGATCACTGATATCCACTGTCACATAAACTTTAGCGTTTCTCACATCCAGGTGTGTAGAATTAAAGATTGCTTACAATTTGAGATTGCTTATAATTCACTCTGAGAAATTTTCATCTCTACTAATAGATATGCAAACAGTTGTTTCTTTTAGTCATTAGATTGGGCTGGGTTCTTTCTGCACATTTTTCCTCTTCACTCCTGTTTTATTTTTGTCCTCACTTTCCCAGACCATTGCAACTATGAATGTTATTGCTTTGTGAGCTTATTATTGAATAATTCGTATACTTGTCATAGCATATTTTTAATATACTATGCATTCTAACCACAATACTGCAATACTGAAGACTGGGCCTGTCTTCCTAAGTCAGAGGCTGGCCTGGATGACAATTCTCTAAACCCTACTGAACTTTGGAGAAATTTACAATGGATTTGCGTTCTGCAGTAAAATTTTGCTGCTGATCACTGTAAGTCACCCCCCTTCCCTCCTGCCAGCAGATGAGTTGCTCTGTTGCTTCAGGACATCTATAAATGTATTTTTTTTCCTTTCCAAAAGCTATCAGCACCTGTTCTGAAGGGAGGCTGGAAATCCTGCTGAAATGGAATTTGAAATAATCTATGTACAAGGGTATTACAGAATAATTTATTCTGAGCTTTTCAGTTAGAAAACATATGAGATACAAGGCTATAACCCCTCCAAAACTTCTTTTTCCACTCCTTTATACAGCATATTCTGTGTTATATAGCACATTACCCTTTTCTTTTTTTTGCCCTTAAATTCTGGGCTCAACAAAAGGAGGAGCTGTTGCAAAAGGTCCTACAAATTGTTATAGCAAAAATTCTTTCTTCTTTCAGTTTGAAATTGTAATCTCTGTTTCAAAGAATGTCCTCTATACCTGGAAAAAATGGTCACAAAAATGCCAATAGATGTAATTATAGTAATACTAAAAAGTTGTCTTCACTTACGGACTTTAAAGTTGAATATATGTGAGTGAAACTTACCCGCTGTTTTTTTTCCAGCTCTTGAAAGCACAGCAATGACTTGGATATGATAGGTCAGCTCGCATTAGCTGAAGAAATATCTTTACAGCTGGTAATTTCTTTAAAGTCCATGTGTTTTTGGCCATTAGTTCTTTAAGGTTTTCCAATCCTTTGGCTGGAAGGTTAGCAATGGCTGTTCTGGAGACATCCCTAGGTAAAGGGAGAAAACAACAAATGTCAGAAGACCCAGAGAAATAAGCAGAAAACGTGATACTAATATTTTCTGAGAGTTTCAGGATGGACTGAGAGAGAAGATTTTAATTGCAGTTTATGAAGAACATTGTTTTAGTAATTACAATACTTCCTATTGAAATATCCCAATAGGTCACAGTGAAACTTGACTCTTCTCTTCTCCAGATGAAACATCTCTCCCTGCCTGTCCTGCTATGAGAGATGCTCCATTCCCTTAATCAACTTAGTGGCCTGCTCCTATTTGGTTTTCACCAATTTCCTTATTTTATAGAGCTCTCCTTCTGAAGCAAAACCTCTTGGTAAACTAGATCTGAGACTAGATCTTACCAAGACAAGGCTGGCCTTTCAGCAACCCCCATGGGTCTCCATCAAGTCCTCATGGTGGTGGCAGCTACCTGCAGGAAGGGAACATGATCAAATGCTGTGTGATGGGAGGTGCTAAGACTTTTTGGAAGGGAAATGACACCTCACAAAGTCTTGGGAGTTCTTTGAGGATGTTCTGGCAAAGCATATGGAGAAAGATGACCCTGTTTGTACAATGAATTGGGATTTCTAAAAAGCCTTGACAAAATCAGGTATCAAGGGCTGGCGCACAGAGGCTATGCGATTGCTGGTACTACTGAAATGGTCATGGACAGTCTGGAAAGAGAAAGAGAGTAGCTGCAACAAAGCTTGTTTCCAACACAAAATAATATGAGGTAGTGAAAGCTAAAATTGATTGTCTAAAGAAGCAGAAGGATCCTGCAATGCTAAGTGACAGAGTAGTAAAATAATGGATATGATTCAATATTGATGAATGTAAAATGCATTAGGAAAAAGCAATCTTAACTGTACATGGATGACAATGGGGTTTAATTTACCTAGTACTCTGGAAAGATCTTGGATTCCTCTCTGAAAATGTCAGGTCAGTACTATTTGGTAATGTTGAAGGGAAATAGAATGCTAAGAACTCTTAGGAAAGAAATAGAAAATAGAACAGAGAACCTTCCCTTTATAAATCTAACTGCATCCTAAATACTATATGCAGTTCTGTAAGTACTATATGCAGAATATAAGAGCACAGAAAGCTACAGCAAGAATTATTAAAAGTATCATATTTTTTATATATGAAGTAATAAGGAGCAGGTAAGAACTTTTGGGAAAAGCTAGGACCGGATGCAATAGGAGACTGTGTAGGCCATGCATATTCTAAAGAAGGTGATTGGGAATGATTATTCACTCTGGTGAAATGAATTTCGGAGAAACTAAGAGTGTGAGGTAAGAGACTTAAAAATGAGAAAAGGTATAATCTTTTCACAAAATTGCATCATTATATTGTGAAAGTCAGTGCCATGGTTCAGTGTGCAGGCCAAATAACAAGGTAACAAGGACAATATCCCTTTTTGTTTTGGGTTTTTTCACAGTTGTGTCACGTTCCCATCAGAAACGACTCGGAGGAGGAACATCCTGAGGGACAAGGGCTTGTGCCTGGGGAACAGCAGCGGAGAGAAGCCTCTCCAGGGCCCTGGGTGCGCAGGGGAGGGAGCTCCTGGAGAGCTGGGAGCAGAAGGAGCAGCCAGCCTGGGGCTCAGGCGGTGGAAACTATTTCCCAGGGAGCAGAGGGCAATGTGCAAAGTCTGTGGCAACTCAAAGAGTGTCATCAAGTGATGTTAAGAAGTCTGAAAGAAAGATCTGTTCAGTGAGAAGAAAGAGCTTGGAAGAATTAGTTATAAAATTTCTGTTCTACCTTACTGAACCCTTTGAAGTCTTTTATGTGTGTGTGTATGGGTGTGTACTTAAGCACTGATGGCTATTGCAGTTTTGATTTTCAAAAGCTCTGCTTGTTTTAAACTGGGGTGCTTGGGGAGAAGATACAGGCACAGCTGCCTTAAAGATCTAGCTGATTTAGGATTAATCCTGTTGCAGGACTAACAACGGATGGTTGGTCCCATCCATGGGTCCTATTTAGCACAATGGCTCGGAGTTTGGAAGCTTCCAAAATCCCCAGTTTGGGAACTCCCTAAACTGTTGCCATGGTGTCTGCCACCAAGAGGTCTTGTGAGCTCTGTGTGCCGCAGCTATTGCAAGTGGAAAAGGCTCCTGGAGGTCTGGTGATAATTTGTCTCCCAGGGGAAGATAACTTCTTAGTTATCCTACCTAGGCCCACGCTTTGTTAGTGACAAAAAGTGTGTCAACTGGCCAGAAGAAAGGGTGGGATTGACATGTTTTGGTTTTTTTTTACCTTAACAAATCCAGTCTTGATGATTATCTATTCAGATTCACAATCTGCTTCAAGCAGTATATCAGCTGTCTTCAAACGAGAAAGCATAGGATTGAAAAGACTTTAAATAATAATTACTAGTCTTCAGAATAATGTGAATCCAAGTAGTTGGAGTTTGCCAGACTACAGTATCTGTGTCTGCGTTCATACAGAAGACACATTTTCCTATTTCTTATTTACTTGTTCTGTGTCATTGTGCGATCAGTCTTGATTTGGGGCTGCTCAGAAAAATGGGAACTGACTGCAGCTGCGTCAGCCTCGCTAATGTCTAATAATATTGATAACTAAGATGTTGTTTAAACACAGCAATGTATACATTGCACAGAAGAGCATCTCGCTACTACTGCCAAACTGTAGCTGTCATACTTAAAGAAACACAAGAGAATGGGCAAGAGATCTGATAGACTTGTCAAGAGAATCTGTCTCAAATATTGAAGTGACTGTACAAGAGGCTGTGAAAGACAAGATGTCACAGGGACTGGATGGTTTTCACCAAAAAGTTCTGAAGCAGCTCGAGGAGGAAGCAGTTGAGTTGGTAAAAGAGGTGTGACACTTACCCCCCTGTGGGAAGGCAGCAAATGAGCCACCAACTGATATGATGTACCTGGGGGAAGTCAGCACGTAAAGGGCTTTTACAAAAGTCCTGCCTTACAAACCCCTCTGAGCGTTGTGGTTAAGATCTGCTCAAAGTCTCCTGGGACTTCTACGAGGCCTTTAACAAACCCTACAAAGGCTGACACGGAAAGCAGGCAGTCACACTCCTTGTGGGAGACGTCAAATGTTGGGGATGATGGTAAAGTGCTAACAAAATTCACTTCTAGTCTAGATCCAGACCAGATTTTAGCATTTAAGTAGCTGTGGTCTAGAGCTCGCTCAGGTGCTGGACGTGGTCTGTCTGAGGTCGTGTAGAGCTCTACACCCTGGAGCGTAACAGCAACCAAAGTGCACTCAGCCAATTTTAACATCGTGGCTTGCTAGCGGTTTTGTTTCTTTCTCACTTGCTTTCATATAAGTCTCATGGGACATTTCTAGGCTATCGCTTACCTTACATGGAATTCACACATTAGATTGAAAATTGAAGAGACATCGGAGAGCTTCAGATGAATGTGGGAATAAAACATAGTTTAGGATTTAAGAAGTGTTGTTTTCTGACCCAACTGTATATATGACACAAGTGTTAAACAGATGTTTAGCTGTTTAGATTTTATTTTTTTCTGGGTTATTATTTTTTGGTCTAATTTTTCATTGTTTTTATGAATTCAGAAGTTTGGAATTAGATATAAGACACAACAGCTTTTGTCAATAATGTTTTTCACAGCTGGAAACATGCAATTGTAGTATGAAATCAAGTAATAATGAGAATTTAAAAGACAGATAATTGAGAAAATGAAATTGAATGAGTCACAGTACCATTGGGATATTTTACCTAATCATATACAGATTTCTGAGTACTGCAATACTACAATAGGTAAAAAAGTATAAAATATATAATAGATGGGCTTAGAGTGCAAATATTATTTCTATCTTCTGAAATATTCTTTAATTTTACAAATTTGCATTATTTGATTAGCAGAATACAGAGTGCTCCTGTTGCTCGAAGACATGCTTGTGCCCAGTGGCAGGAACAGAACAGAACCTCCTAAGGTAGGACCTATTCCTAGACTGGGAAATGATGCTTTAAAGAGCACTTCTTTTTTCTAAAGATAATTAATTACTCACATGTATCTTGTGCAACAGTTAGTAATGTTTTGAATTTGTACTGTATGTTTTGCAGAAGTTAATTGAATAATGAGCCTGATTGTGCTTTTGTTGTACTTTGCTGTACTTGTGCTCTAGGCAGCAGCTCTTGTTGGTGCATTTAGTAAATCAGGTACACTGAGTTGCTGAATCCTAGCCAAGATTTCTTTTTCAGGTGAAGAGCAATGTACTGTCATACTTTTAAAATAGTTTTCTAAAAGGAACAGTCTAAGTATACCTCCACATACATCTGAAATATAGCGGTGACAAAGAAATCAGAATTATTGGCATCTGATCCCTCTATTCAGTGATCACACTCCCTGCTTCCTCTGCTGTTGCAAACTGCATTTAAAAAAAAACACAAAAAACCTAAATTTTTAATATCTGCTTAAATATACCATCTAACTAGGTGGTCTGAGAGCACGGCCAAACTCACATAAACTGCCTCTCCAATGTCCAATAATTTAATTATTATCTGCTTCAAAAGTACGACTCCATGAATGGTCTGTGCTTCTTTCTCTCCTCAAGCCAGTGAAAGGAAAACCTGATAATCCATAGAACTGGTCTCAGACCCTATTCCCAAGGACTCTGCTTATAACTCCATTGGACCTTGTGGTAGAGGGTGATGTGGAGGAATGATAAGGCCCTGAAAGGTGGGCCCTCAGCCAGATCTTTCCTCCTTATCCTACAAGACAGTAATTTAGATGACTGAAGCAGATGACAGACTACCATTCATACGTAGGCCTTGCAGTGCATCTGACTTGAAATGCAGGGGACAGAGAAGCAGAGATTTGATGACAACCTTGCCATCAAAGGTCTGTTGCAGCTTTGCACAGCAGGGACACAAGTCTTCTTTGCATAAAGTGGTTATGGCCAATACAACTTCTACTGCAGATTGCTATGTTGCTAGTAGCTAGCCTGATTTTCTGGAGTCGGAGAGATTCTGTGAGAAAAATAATGTCTCTGCACCTTTTTGTTATTATAGCTAGCTACTAGGATTCCTTCTCTGAACAATGCACCATTATTCTGATATAAATATGCTGTTTTCCTGAAGAGCAGAAAGTAAAAGGGATACTTACACGTAGTGTAAAAACCAGTACCATCTGGTTTTGCAGTGGAGGAGGGAATCCCACTGCCAGCCCTTCAGTTCTCCCAGTGATCAGTCCTATGCACTATGTTACATGTTACATGATTTGAGTCAGGGAATATGATTCTTCTACAAGTTCTTATACTTGTTAAAGGTTTTTTTTTGTTTCATTCTGTGTTGTGATTCCTAATTTTAGTGAAGAGTTCTTTGGAGGACTATAAAATCAGACTGAAACTCAAGTTATATGAGAAAGGAGAAAAGACAGCACCAGAAGTAACTTTATTCTGTCTAAAATGATTTTCCATCTCTGTTTCAATTTCCTTTCCATGTGTGCTGCTGGAGTACTTAGTTTGTATTACAGTTGTACTACAATCATATGCTCATAAGACAGATTGCAGTACAGAATTTTTCAGAAGAAAAAAGGATAGGAACAGTATTTCTAATGTAAGATGCAAGCGTTTCTTAAATCAGTTCCCTAAAGCACAACTTCTGTTGCTGATATTCTTTTTGTTAATGTGTCATTCCCATCCCTGCTCCTCTGCTGCTAATAATCATTGGAAAGAAAGCGTAACCTAAACCAGTATTATTTTTGAAGCTTTCTCTGCTTCATTTTCTCCTACTCACAGTAGTGTTGGTCCACTGTGCACTCCCAGAAATGCATCATCATTGATAACTTCCAGGTATTTGTTCTTGTGCAGATAGCTGCAGAAACAAACAAAACAGTGATTTGGATATAGTTATTCTTAGGTTAAAGAAGAAGACATTCAGTTTACTTGCCTAAACAGATTTACAAAAGCAATATGTATAAGGGCCATGCTATCCCAACAACAAATTGAGGCCAAGGAACAAAATGCAGGTTTGCCATTTTGAAAATAAATTTAATTCCTCAACAAATAAAAATCTAATGAATTATCAAAATAAATTACCTCTCCTCCAAATTCTTTTTCTCTCTCTGTCATACACATAAAGACACACGCATACACACCGTATCTTTGAGTAAGTATGAGGTGAAATAGATAATTTTGCTTTCATTGTAATGAGGTATGGGGAATTGCATGATACTCACAGGAACACATCATGAACAAACATGAAAATAATTCCCTCTTTGTTTTGAGTTTGGTAATAACATTTTAAAATGCTTTATAATATCCATAGCCAAGTGAAAGCTCCCTCCCCCCCAGGTCAACAGTTAATAATGAAGTTTTGTGGTAAGAGGAGCAAGAGACGGAGTGAGAAGGAGGCTAAATCTGAAGGAAAAAATAATATACAACTTATGTAAAAAAAAATTTTAAAATCTAAAGTCTTAGGAAAACAGAGAACAGTTTCCTGAGCAGCCAACACTTTCCTGAAATATAGAATGCTGTGAATTTCTCCTATCGTTACATGATTGATGTAATCAGAGACGAACACTAAATTGCATCACTCTGGAAACTAATTTATAAGAAAGTGTGGATTCAAGAAGCAGAGAATTTACAGAGTTGAGTTAAAGGTGCATGATTGAAGACGGGCAACGCAAGGCTACTGAACATTCAAAAAAATAACACAACCCAAGTTATGAGCTGAATTAGCTGAGCAAAGAAAAGAGACTGAAGATTAGGTTGTGATATATATATATATACATACCTATGTATGTGTGTGTTTATATATATATATGTACAAGTGAATACTACTGTGATAATTCTTTCCCTAAGCCAGCAATTAAACGCTAGGTTGTGTTTTTACTTAGTTCAATCAACTTCTGTCACAATGTTTACAAGAGAAACAGCTTGCAGGCATCAAACCTAGTCACGCTTTTTAATTTAATTTAGATGGAAATTGAAACCTTGTGATGGGATTAAGTATAATTTACCAAATATAGTAGTCCCTGGAGGAGGATGGAGGAGCCTCTAGCTCTCTTGGTTGACAGGCACTACATAAGCAAGGAGACACAACAGTCGAAACGTTTTGTTTCTGTACTATGATGACAAAGGGCCTCTAAGAGAAGTTTGAGCCAAGGCAGGAAAGGGGATGGTTGAGCTGCAGGTCTGCGCTTCGGGGCAGAAATGCAACACAACCCGTTAGGGAGGAGAACAGGGAAAGTTCTCAAGGGGAATGTATGTTCCCCTTGATGAAATGATGGCAAAATGATCAACGCAGTAAAGGCCCTGAAGGAGCATGGTGCCTGGGCAGAGGAGACTCGTATCACCTGTGACTACCCCATTTATAAATTTTATCAAGTTTCTGTATAGTGGAAAAGGTAAAGTCTAATGGCCCTAGAAGCAAACTGCAGATGAAAGCATGAGGCTGCAGACTAGGAGCAACAACAGGGTCACAGACCGCAACATTATACGTAGCTCAGGTTCAGCAAAAAGCAGGAAGAGGAACTCATAGTGACCTAAGTATGACAACAGTGGGTGGCACAGGCCCAACAACAACAAGCGTCAGGATTGCTTGACATTTCACCAACAAGGGCACAGGGCTGGTGGAGGCCTTGTAATGCAAGAAGGAAGAGAAAGAAGATAATAGGACATTTCAGCTGCTATGTAAAACAGGACAATGTCATGTCAGAGCACTACAGAGATACTGAGCATTCAGACATTATCAATGGGTGCTCCATAAAGCAATAGGTTAGAGGGTCTGCATGAGGAAAAGCAACTTTTTATTTCAGCCTGAGTGGCACGCATGCTCTGTTTCAAAAAGTTACAGTCTAAAGTCTGTTTTATGAAAGCAACCACCAGGTACAGATGTTCAGTAACTTTGTAGGACCAAGAAAGCCAAAGAGTACACTCTATAGGCTCCAAAAAGGAGAAACATGCATACATGAGAAAACTTCCTTAAAAATAAACAAAAGTATGAAAGTTAAATTATTGAGGGCATTCTGGGAGCTCTTTAGGGACACCAGATTGGAGATACAGAGCAAATGTGAAAATCTTGAGATAACAAAAGAAAAACAAAATCCTGAATATTCAAAATCTTCAGCTGAGATGAAAAACCAAAAAAATGCTGAAAAGTCTGAAGATATTTTTGCAAAATATTTTATTTTTACCAAAAGTGTATTTTCTTCTGGGTATAACAGATATGAATGAAAAATGCTGACCAGTTACTTCAACTAACTAACATATAGTTCCACATAAATTTCTTTTTTCAGTGTAAAAGATTTCTATTTCTCTTCTTCCATAGTCCAAGGTCATTCTTGCAATTCCCTTTATTGTAGCTGGACACACCTTTACCGGTGTTTTTTTTTTTTAGATGAATTATTTCACTGATAAAGTTTTACTGCAGTCCCACAACCAATTTTATCAGCACGGAGTGATGGAATAAGAATAAATAGCCAGATTAGGGAAAAAGGGAGGTTTTGCAAAATTTTATTCCAAATGATCACTTAGTTTAAAAACAAGTAAATTTACTAAAAATTCCTAGTTGGAATACCTCACTGGATTATGGAATTATGGATTATTTGATAGTATCTGCTTGTTTTCTTTCAGCTTCTGATTTTAAAATAAGGCAGCAGAGCTTAACAAACAGGGAGAAAAATAATACATTGGCCACATATTTAAGTATCACTACTGTAGTATTAAGTGGGCTCTGGACATCTAACATGTTAATGTATCTATGCATCCAGTTGGATTATGAAATGAAGGTTAAAGAAAGGGAGAACAGGCAAAGAGATGCATTGGCAAATGAGCAGTATTAAGGATTCATCCTATGGTTTTTCTACACCGTTGCTTATCTTGAGTCTGAGCTAAGCCAAGCATTGTAAGTGATTCCTGAGAGTGTGTACCAAAGTAAATATATTCTTTCGGAATTTATTTTTGTAATTAGATTTTGAGATTGCACACTTTCCATTTCAGTAATTTAGACAGCTCTGTAAAAGCTCACCACAAATATATTTTGCCATTCACTGGAACTAAAAAAATCTTCTTTCCTCAGTAACTTCCTTACAGAAATAAACATTGGTGCAGGAGCACCACTTAGCAGAAGTCTGCAGGAGTGATGCAGTTCATGGACATTAATAATGTGTTAGGAAGAGGGATTCAAGTTTCAGATGAATGCTATTCAGTAAAAGTATCATTCAGCCCTTCATTCCTGGTTTTTTACTTCCCTGCCCTTATAAAATATATACAGCAATGCTGTGCTTTGCTATAAAACACACATCCTTGTTGGATGAGGAGATATATTAGGTAGCACCATCATTTGGTATGGTCACAGAAACTATGCATGGTTCAGACCCATATCTGCATTGATTGTTTTGACCTCCTTGAATTGCCTTGGTCTTTTTATACTGCAAGAGTGGTAGGAAGGCACACTGCATGGGAGAAGGTAGCCTCCAAGATTCCCAAAATGTCTTCTGATTTATGGATAGAAAAAGGAGTCTTTGAATGACTTGTCAAAAATGAACTACTGTTTTCAATTGTTTTCCTTTTTTACTTGTTTTCCTCCTTGAGGTCATAATTCAAAACCCATTAAAATTTCCCTCCCTCTTTTTCTCTTAGTTTCTTTTTACTCCTGGTTTCATCAAGTCCAAAGGACCTTAGGTCAGACACAGAGGAAAACAGGTACTTTCTTCACTGTACAGTGGTAGATAAACAGGAGTTCAAATTAGAAATGTCAGAATACAGAAAATGAAATATTTTGCTTTTGCATTAACTTAATGCTGCTGCTAGAAACAACAAATCTCCAAGCTTCCACTTAGCAAAATTATACCTTATCTTGGCATACGGTAACCAAACTACTTCAGAAAATTAGTTTAGAAATTTCAATGTAGTTTATCAAACAGATAAAGCGTTCACCACTGATGTTCAGCTCCCTAGTTTGCCTTGTAAGTCTGGAGTAGTGCTTTGCTCAAAGTAAATGTCATGTGATTTAATTAGGAGAAAACTGTTGTAAGAAACCATTTTTACTGCTGGTAGATAAAGCCCTGAAAGTAAGCCTGGTTGCAGTTCTTTTGCTTTAATTTGCTTAACTAGTGCATTATAGCTAGTCTCTGGAAAGGTTCACTTAGAATCATATTTGAGGGGATGCATAAGGATCATCAAGTCCAACTTCCCGCTCCTTTAGTTTTACATAAAACTAAACTATATGACTAAGAGCATTATCCAGATGCTCCTTGAACTCTGACAGGCTTGGTGCCACAACCACTTGTCTGGGCAGGCTGTTCCAGGGACCAACCACCCTCTTAGTGAAGAACCTTTTCCTAATGTCCAATCGGAACTTCCCCTGATGCAGCTTCATTCCATTTCCTCGTGTCCTATCACTGGTCACCAGAGACAGGACATCAGCACCTCCCCCTCTGCTGCTCCCCTTGAGAAGTTGTAGACTGCCATGAGGTCACTCCTCTGAAAGTAAGCAAGCAGTATCTGCAGAACCTAATATGTGTTTTCTGCTTCTCTACTTCCACCCAGCCCAATGAAGCAGGTGTTTAGGACTCCAGATCTTCTAAAACTACCTTTTCACTTGATTCTTTAATAATAAGGAAAAGAGGCCAGAAGCAACCACACTTGCACACTATCAGAGAAGCAAAAAGAAAAATTCCTACAGAATCATCTCCGACTTGTGTTTCATCAAAATGTAAGAAATGGAAGGGCCAACACAGTTCATATATTGGCTTAGAAAGATTTTAAGTATTGCATATACATCTTGGAGGGATTCAGGCAAGACACTGGATTATTTTTGCCATATTTTACATCTTGCAATTTCTGTGGGCACTAGTACAAACACTATGTCATCATGAAAAGGTTCCTTTCTCATATGAAAGTTCAAAGTAACTGAACTAAAGTGAGTAAAATAAGACCTATCCCAGGTCTTTAATTTAACTCAAGCCTTTTCAAAATTTAAGAAGTCTAGCTAGCTGTTAAGGAAAAAAGGGCAGCTTGGAAAGATTAAGACATTGTGAAGGATGCTCTTATGGAATTCTTATAGAATTCAAGCCCGATTTAAAATAAAGTACTGAAAATAATCATATCTATCCTTATGCCTCTCTTGTTAATTTTAGAGCTCATGATGAAGAAGTCTTTTTACTCATGAGATTGCCAGCCAGACTCTTCAGTCAAGCCTCTGTAGGACCAGAGTAAGCTCTGCCAAAGTGAATGGAGCCCCTGGAATTGAGATTTGTTCTGTGTTAATGATGGAGGCACATGATTTTGGGTATGTGTAAAAATGATATTCACTCATTTCAAGTTTTAGTTTTCCAGAAACTATAATAAGAAGGTGAAGGCAAAGCTGAAATGGTTGCTTCATGCTTTTGAGATGTCCAGCCCTTGTTTCTAGTGCAAGTGAATTGCTCTGAATTGCTTCCAACACCTTATACCACTCACTTTTTTGCAGGTAAGAGATTTCTGTGAAAGGGCTGCTGCCATTGTCAGTGCTACGTGTACTAAAACAAACTGTCTTGTAAGTAAAATACGATAATTATCTTCCAAATTGTCTTAGAAATGTTACTGATCAAAAGAAATTTTATTGTAGCTTCAAACCAGAGCAAAATTCACACTGGAATTACCTGCCATGATTTTATTTCTGAGCTATAAATATACATACTAAATGAAAGCACACTGCAGAAGACATTAAGCAGCCATATTTTTATGGCTGGCTGAAATTAATATCCTTTTTTGCTCCTTAAAAATTATTAGAACAAGATATGTATTTGAGAGCCTACAACAAGCATAGAGTATTTATTATAGAATTATTTTTTTCTGAAAGAAGAGAGTGATCTGCTACTTACATAGCGTCCAGGTTTGTCCCATTAAAAGCATGGCCTTGGATACTGGTAAAACCATTATTGTAGAGTTTGCTGCAAGCAAAAAAAAAAATAAATTAGTATATTGTGGGTTGCTTCAATACCTGAATACCTAACATCTTACGTACAATTTTTCTGGGCAACAGCACATTTATGTATGAGTTAATTTTAATCTCTTGAAGAAGCAGCAATTATAGTTCAAGGTCAAACAAATGCCCAGGAGCATTCTTGAGTGTAGCTGAATCAAGAATACCATGTGGCAGGTGTGCCATCTTTTACTTCATTTTACAGCAAAAAGAGAACTAGACTAAAACACTTTGCTAAAACTTTCCCACTCTCAAACTGAGAACAAGGAAACAAAATTCTGCTAGGACTGATTAAGGAAGGTTAAAGGAACTAATTCCTAGAAAAATAGGTATGATTTTGCTATCAGGCTTGCCTGAATTTTTAGAATTCATTCTTTTGCTACCTTAGAGCAAAAGGATTTTTTTTTAATTTCTTTAGAATTCACTTTTTCACATTCTAATGCTCTTTCCCCTAGTTCAGGTCATAACTCATTACAGTCATTTTCACTCCCCTTAGTGCTTTCATGCAGCTTACACGGAGTATGACTTGCATAACTGAAATTTATTTAACCATATTTCTTCAAATATGACTCTTTTTACATTTGCCACCCATTAGTTTTAATGGTATGTGCCACTTAGGTTGCAAAAAAAATTAGACACAGTTCTAACCTTGCTGTAGCTTTAGAGAAGAACTCCTCTGCAAACTTTTCCCTTTGTTTTTCTCCAATATAACCATTCACTGGTATTAAGGTCATACAGAAGCAAAACCATTTTGGTAAGCCAGTTTAAAGAAAAAGCAGCAGGCCTGATTCAAGTCACTGTTGAAGTAAAGGATTTATGGAAACTAGATTATGGATACTACATGTCTATTGTGTTTCTCTGTTACAAACTACTAGAGAGTAGGACAGGGATATTATTTTTTCAAAAACATTGTACCGCATGCTTGAGAGAGGTAATTGCCTTGGGGACTTAAACTGGAAGGACTTACAGAGTTAGAGATTCATTACAAAGCCCATGGAAAGCATTTGCAGGCACTGAAGTCATGAAAGGATTATCTGCAATTTCGCTGAAAAAGGAGACAAAACATGGCAATCAAACATCTGCCCAGCAGAGCTTCTCCAGAACAGCTTTATTATTTGTTGTTCTCTGCCTTGATAATAAAGAAAATTGTAGAATGACCTGTTTAGTTGTATCTAAGGCAAGAAGATACATGTGGGATGATCAAGGATTGAGCATGTTCCAGCCTCCAGGAAGTGAGCTTGTGAAGTAGATGGGTTTGTAGTCCTGGTGAGGTGTGCCAGCCTGTGCGATCATAGCAGTGAACAGCACAGGCAGGTCCCTTGTCTCATAAGCCAGACAATCAGCAAAGTAAATAATGCTGCAGCCTCAAATGAGCCAGCCCAAGTGACAGAGCCAATATCCTGATCTCTAGCTAAGCTCAGATGAGACATCAGGTAAAACATTATTCAGGACAGAGGCATTCCACTTCACAGAGCTGCATCTAGCACAGGTGAAGTAACTCACTGTGTGATCTAACCCAATGGTTCTTCTCAACGCTTCTCCAAGAGTGTTTCACTATCTGTCATTCCTTAAATAGTTTTGTACTCCCACTCTGCAGTCTTAATAAATACCATCTATCTTCAAACCAAAACACTGTCGTGACAAAAGGGACATAGAAAACCTAAAGAGATTTACTATGAATAAACTGTAAAAAGGAGAGAGAAAAAAACTGGTCAAAACAAAGGGCAGAGCAAAGTGTCTGACTGAACTTCTGCTTTTTCCTGAATCATAATAGAGTCTCAAAACCAGAAACCTTCACTATAGGTCTCCCTGGGTTCTGAGAACAGCAGTATTCAAAACAGCTGTGAGAAGAGATACTTACAGTAAAAAGTTCACATCAGATGAGTAGATTTTGGTGAGGTCTGGAAATGCTTTGAGTCCGGTATTAAAAATACCACTGAAAGAGAGAAGAAACAGAAAGAATTACATGTACTGGATCACTGAGCAACAATAGTCAATGTAATTAAAGCCTTCAACAGTGCAGGACAGTTATTTCATTCTCTTTATTGTCAGTCAATTCATTTATAATCAACTGTCCAAAATCTAAGGATGCAAGAACAAATAAAAAAAATAAATACTGGATTTATGATAAATTATAGAATCTAAAAAATGTGAACACAGAACAATAAGACATCTAAGGAGATCTGCAGAGGGAAGTAGCCTGTGAAGTGGATAGGGAGAAAAAAAATTATAACCCTGGATTCACTTGAGAGATTAACGCTGCTTCAGATAGTAGTCTGGATGCCTAAATCCTCTGTCTTTCATTGAGGTTAAGAGCTGTTCAAATAGCTCTAAAAAGGGAAACTGTCTTCAAATTTGAGTATAATTAATGCCCCTTATTTATGAACTCCTGTAGAGCGGAAGTAACTTACAAAAATATAATTCTCAATTTTTAAAACTATTCTCCTGAAATGAAATTGTTTTGACTAATTTCTTTTTATTGCTTTCAGACCTAAAGGAAAAATCTGGGAAAATCTTTCCTCCCCACCACTACTCCCACTGTACATACACACAGAGCCCTTTCTAGAGTCTTCCAAACATTACTCAAAATCACACAAATTATAATTTTTCAATCTCTTTTTTCTACACTATAATTTTAGAATTTCATGGTCTGGTTACTCTGTTTTGCTCTTTAGAAACTTCATGGGAATAGAGAATTGTTCAGGATTTCTTTCTCCCACAGAGGTCACATGAAATTGTCTGTAGATGGGCTTGTCACATTTAGCTGACAGGCATGCTTTAAAACCCTGTGTAAATATCTAGTACATATAAAAGATGTATATATTTCTGTTGTATCCATCCTTCCCACTATTTCCTACAAAAATACAGTAAGACACCACTTATCATAAGAAGAAAGGCAAAATTTCTGATTAATTTGTGAATTTTATGAATGAATTTCCTTTCTCACAAAGTAGTCAAAGTTCCAACCCCTACCCTAGCTGGCTTTCTGGCATTAAAATAAAGCAACAGGGAAAAACACTGCCATCAGTTCCAAAATGAAATGCAAAGAAGCAAACCAGCTGTAAAGAGTCATCTGCCAGGCTTAAGTGCCAAGTTATTACACCTGTTAAATACTTACAGGTATTTTAAAAGTGGGAGATTCTTAAAGGCATCTGGATCTATGTAATCCAAGTTTCTAAGATTTCGAATTTCACTGTAAAAAAGGGAAGAACATTACCACATTGATCACTGGCATTTAATTATTTGTCATAACAGAAATCAGCAATATTAAAATGAAATTTCAGGGACCTAATTCCTGCAATGAGCTTTTGTAATCGCCAGCACCAGCTCAAGACCACAGAGCATTCTGAGCAATTTTAAAGTAATGAATGACCATCTGGATTGATGCAGTCATGGGGACTGGCTAGTTTAAGCAAGGAGGGAAGAAGCACCTGAGGTTATTTAATTGACCATGCCCTAACACTGCCAAGTAACCTACATAATACAGGTATCACAAGTTAGGGTTTTAAGATACCTCTGCCACTGGAATAATTTTTACAGGACAAAATCAACCAAGCCACGTTGTCTGAGAAAGAAGAGTGGGGAAAGAGACAAGACAGTAGTTAAATCAGTATGTAGATATAGGCATCAAGACTTCAGCCTCTCTATATACTGTTATACTGACAAAACAGTTCTGCTCCATCTTTCAAGTCTTCAGTTTTTACTCCAACATTTCAGGGAGACAAGGATTTACCTTTTAGTCATGTGTTAAATGAAGTAATTAATACTACAGTGTAGTATTAATAGCTGTACTACTGCTATTACAGTGCTGTATTTTATGGCTGTTAGCTACTTTGAACAACACTGTTCCTGTCTTTAATAGAAATCTTCTCAGTATCAGTCTCTTGCTTCTCTCAAGTTATTTTATTAGTTGTGTAGCTATCACACTCCCAATCGCGGAATTTACTCTATAAACTTTAACTGACATGTTTTTTCCATCACTGACTACATTGAAAATGCTGGACTCATGAGCTTCCTGGCCACATATTCCTTTGTTGTGGACCAAACATATTCCAGGTAAAGAGAGTCTTTAGATCAGCCTTCAGCCTGGAAATGGATAACGCATTGGAGTACCATAGAGTCATCAGGTTTTGGCTTGTTGCTGTTCTTAGCATTCTGAGTAAATTATTTGGATGAGAGTGCTGAAAGTAAGAATTCAAAATCTGCAGATGGTACTAAAATTGGAAACACAAAATAATGCAGTGAGATTCAATCAGATTTTGATTTATTAAGTAACTGGGCCATGAGAGGGCATGTGCTGTTTAACAAAGGCAAATGAAAAACTAATTAATCTGGGAATAAAAGATTTAAAACTGCCAGATGAGACAGTTCAGATCAGAGAAAAGCTTAAGTAATGTGAGGAAATAAATATGATTCAATTGACTGTTGGGGAAAGGTTTATGTCCCTGCTGTTCTATTTCCTTGAATTGGTAATGCTGGGATTAGGAAAAAAGTATGCTTTAATATATACTGTATTTATATTTGCCTTTCATCCTACACTTTGTATTACAGAAGTTTCTTAAGCCCAAGAGGAAGAATGGGGCCCATTGTGGTAGGCACTACAGAAATCAACAGCAGCCAGCCAGTTGTTTAGAAGTCTCTAGTCAAAAATAGATGAGAAAGAAGATGAGAGAGGTATAAAAAGACAAAACGTGATTTGAACAAAGCAAATGCTATGCTTAAGAAAAAAGTCAGGAAAAAAATCCAATTTTTCTTACTTCTAGTCCAGTCAAATGTGCCTCTTGCACTTGATGGGCTGAATGGGGCCTCTCATTTCATACGCATGAAAAAGAGAAAGATCTTCAAATTCAGTTCCATTCATGAACTGTGCTGCTGTCCTTGTTTTGCTCAATCAAACGTCATTAATCTCAGAGTACTGGAAAGAACCTCCCCTTAAAATCACAGATTTAAAGGATATCTATAGTTCCACCACTACTGGGGCCTATGAAGTGAAGCCCATAAGGAGAAAATATATTTGAATAGTTCTGATCTCATCAGTTAACAGGATAGTGATTTCACAATTTCTTTTGCATTAATCAGTCATGACTAATATACTCAAAGGTGCCTAAATGTTATATGATAGTAATTTTCAAATCACAATCAAAAGACTGCTGTGGTGTAAGGATTAATTTTAAGGGATCCAAAAACCTAAGAAAAGCAGGTTGATTATTGGTATGTTCCTTAGTCGGAGTTTGAGCTTTTATCAGTGAGCTTTTCTGAACTGGTGAATCAAGAAGATTGAAATCCACTGATTTAAAAAGTTAAGGTTCCTCTGAAAAGTAGCTTTAGAAAAACTATTATTAGTTTTAGCTGCCTAAAATGCAGGTAAAGGCAAAGAGTATACTTAAAAATATCTAGTAGGCTAGTTTCCAGGTATCTAAGTGTCTATGAGAGCTGATTTTAAATGACTTTTGAAATGGAACTTTGACACACTCTAAAAATGCAAATTAATCTTAGCACACAGCAATGCAACAATTCTGAGTCTGTCTGGGAATGAAGTGCTTTAAAGATATAAAAAAAACTTAAGACGGGTAATAGGCATCTTTGTTGACCATTGATGCAGAGAGGCAAAAAGTGCCCTTAACAAATATTTCACTCTGCAGTCCTAACTGAAATAACTTAGAGAAGTTCATGAGAAGTAAGACACAAGATAACAAAATTATTAGTGCAATATTTACATCATTATTCAAAGCTACTTTACAAACCATTCAGCTTCTGCTTTATTTTAGAAAGTATGTAAAACATTAAGAATTGGCTTATTTGTACTTTAAAGTCAATCAATGTTTTAAATTTTGTTTCTGGCACTCAGGCTAGTATTAAAAATGTACTAGGTTCACAATCAAACCACCACCTGACTGTCCAGAAACAGCAACTCAGTTTTGCTTTTTAAAGAAAATTCTTAAAAAATTTTAACACGTCAAGAACAGATGTGCAGAGAAAGTCCCTTGATGATACAAAGTCCTGTGTCAAGATTTTCAAATAACTATGAACTTATGTTCAGTTACAAAGATATAAATATTTAGTTCCAATTCCAAATGTGTCTAAAAATGAAACTAATAATAAGAACTATTGAAATATTAGTCTAATGAATGAATTAATGAGACATAAATTCACCAGATAACTTCTAGAAAGGATAATAATCTACTTAACATCCTATATGAATTTAGTAACTTTTAAAAAAGCACAAACAGTTACATATTTAAGTGGCTTCTAGATTTCGTGTACCAGACATGTCTTTCATGCCTGCTTTGCAATATTGACACATCCTTGAGTTTCCTCAAGACCCGAATCCAGAAATTGCAAATCTGGGTATAGAGTCTCAATATAATAATATTATGCTGAAATACCTAGGAAGAAGACTAAGGATATCCAGCTCAGCAGTTCTGAAATGTTTTAAATCAGTCCCTTTTCTTGTAATAACTTGGGACCCCTCTTTAACTTCTTAGACTGACTTTGCCCCTAGCTTCCTTGGCTTTTCTCACATGTATATATACTTCCATGTTTATTCTCCACCTATAGCCAAACTTATTTGTGTTATTTCATCTGCAAGCACCCAACGCTAGCAGCAGAAAGCTGGCTGAGTCTCCCAACAGTCTATTCCCTACCTCCGGGCTGCAGATTTTAACAAGATTTTTCTGCACAGCGCTTGTCCCAGCGCAGGGAAGTTCCCTGCCGATATACAACAGTGCCCCCAGATCTCGTCAGTCTCCTTCTCCAGTCACTTCTCGGATACTTCCATCGAATCACCTCTCCTTTCCTCAGCACCGTATCCATCCCACGACCTGGCTCCACAAGCTGTCCAAGCAGTGCAGAGCAGCCCTGGCCTGGAGGCTGGCAGAGCTGCCCTGGCCCTTGGCTCCAGCTCACCACAGGGATGGAGAGCAGTTCCCCACCGGCTCTCTCCAAGTGACGTCGCATGTACAAGGGTGAGCCTCTTGAGCCATAACCTTTGGCCCCATTCCCAAACGCTGAGAGGGCTTTTCATGTGGTAGTATAAGAGGAGAGAGCTTTGGGAGTGAGGAGGAGAAGGGAGTAGGGAGAGATCAGAGGAGAATCAGCGGAGTCGCAGAGAAGGGGAAAAGAAAGAGTGAATTTTTCTGGGGTTCCTTCCACAGGAATGTTTTCCTGAGAAACAATGACCTAATTGCGAAAGCTTTGTATTTAGTGGAATGCTATCAAGCTGCAGCTCTACTAGTAAGACACAGAGACACTGACTGCTAATTAGACACTCTCACAATTATATCTAGAAAAAATAAATACTTATGCCATTGTATGGGAGAGACAGTTCTGAATTTGTAAACGTTAAGTTTGTCTTGCAGACATACTTTAAAAGGGTAAAGACATAAAGAACAAGAAGCCATTGTGAGAGCAATTTAACAAAATTGGGGGGAAAAAAACCACAGTCTTGGCCCTGATTTTCATCTTCACAGAGTGGGAATTATGTAATTAATTAAAACCCAAATGAGATCTGGCCCATTAAGATACAGCAGGTTCTCAGTACCCTTAGTTTGCAGAAGTTGCTCAGCACTTGCCAGGCAGAGCTTCATAAAAATATGGCCTGTGCTTACAGAGCACTGAGCTCTGGGAGGAACAGAAAGTCAGGAGAGAGGCAGATGAACTGAATAAGGACCAGGGAAACAGAGTGCTGCAGGTGAAAGCTGAATCGCGCTGACGGGCTTGGCAGGCAGGGGTGGTGACCAACACAGGATACCTGTTCACCCGACACCTGATTCAAGCCAAAGCAATTAGTTCCTCCCTTCCACAAACGCTTCGTTTTCTCCTAAGAAGTTCTTATGTTTTAAAACAGGTGTTTTTAAAATGAAACCGTGTGTATACGTTTAAATTAGGGCTAAAAGATTATTTACATAAAGCTGCACTTTACGAAAATTCCATGAAAAACAACCTGCGAAAATGAAACTCGGTGAAATGACTTCTTTTCAGAACTGCTAGAGTAACTTCAACCTCAACCTCTTTTAAAATACACTATGATAATCTTTACCCAGTATTATTTTAGCAATAATACTTTGAAAATACTATGCAAGTGGAGAACATTAAACAAACGCATAGTACAACATATACATTTATCTCTGAATAATCTTGTTCTTTGAAAAGTAAATCAAACCCAACAATGATAAGTGTTAACAAATCAGAGGAGTTATAGAAGCAATTCAGAAAAATGGTCAAATCTATAAATTGCTTTTTTTTAGAGCTTATATGCAACTGCCTAATTTGCCAGATGCCTTGATACTCCTCGGTACATGTGCCTTACTTCCAAACATTTTAAAAACCTGGTAAGTGCTTTTGAGTGCTAGAGGCAGCCCTTCTTTGTTGGATCTCTGCAAAGACTTGGGGATTGCCTAGAGCTTTTGGGAGTAGAGTTCTGGTGCCTTGTCCTGTGTAGTATTTTTGGCTCTCACACAGAAAAAAAAATAAATCTGTGTACAGTTTCTTTTTTGATAGTGCCTTTTGAGAAATATAAGGGATCCTACACAGACATAATCCTTGTATAGCAGATCAGGAAACCAGTCCTCCTACCACTTTTGTAATGGCCCTAGTGCACCTTTTGATGAGGACTGCTCAGAACAAAAAGCTATAAAAGCGCTTCCCAGAAGCCTTTGTCCCTAACAGTCCCACTCCCAATTAATAACCAGATAAACACTCTTCATTTTACTAGTGCACTTCCAGAATGATTACTTCTTATTATTCATGTCTCCAGATTGTGCCATTTTGCTCTGTGATTTGGCCCTTCTGATTTTATTTCTGGTGTTTATATTACTGTTTAACCTTCAGTTAAACTTTGACAGAAGTCAAAGTTACCAGTTTATTTCAACTTGCCATCCAGTTCATAATGTAGTCCCACATATTTTTCATTACACTCTTACAGTTCTGTGGGAGGATACAGAAGAGCGAGGGAACCGAAAAGATGCAGGGAAAGAAAGCACAAGTCAAAAAAGAGACTGATTCCACATTACAGAGAAAAAAAATGATAAGAGGAATATTTAGCTACAAAAGAGACAAGAAAAGCAATGCAAACATCAACATGTATGTGATTTCCACACATCCCCAAATTTACTATACCACTGTATTAATTTATTTAATTACAGTACTTACATATGAGTGACTTTACTTAAACTGTTGAAGGAATGGGCCTCCAGACTCTGAAGTGTTTCATCGATGGAGATGTAGCTAAACACCAGCAAACAGAAAATGAAACAAATCTCAGACCTTGGCAAGCCATGGCTAGTGCCAATCATACCTTGTGCACTCTTTATATTTATTATTACTTCCTGCTTTTAAATCAGTAGACCTACAAGGACCTAGAATCATACTTAACTTAAAAAATATCCAACTGGTACTTTACATCAATTCTAATTGGGTTGCGTTCAAATGACAGTATCAAGAGTAATAATAGTATATAGCAAATTAAAATATGATCATTTAATCCAGAAGGGCTTTTTAATACAATCAACTATGGATCAGATAATATTTTTGGGGAAATTTTAAAGAAGATAAAACTTTATTTCTGTCAATGGATATTAAAAAATATTTAAAATGTTTTAAAAAATTGGAAAGAATTCTTTGTGACCAGCACATGCTCAACAACCAGCAGATGACTAATACCACTAAGTGTTCCAAGTTAATTTATGTCCTCTCCAGACTGAAGCTGAAAGCATATTACCTGAATTGATTTTAACTATTCTAACATGAGATTTACTTTTTATTGGTCACTCTGGAGATATATTCAACAGTGCTTGCAAAGATACCAGAAAAGTACCTAGTAGAGATTGTATGACCAACAGATTCTCTTTCTACAGTAATATTGCTTTTACAAAGCTATTTGGCTCTTCCAAATGGAAGGAAGATGATAAAAGAGGAATACAATACAGAAAGTATTTCCAGTCTGTACCTCTGTGATTGAGTATTGCAGAGTTAGATGTTCATGTGAGATGCTTTAATTTTGTTTTCCTGTAAGCAACAAATGTCTATTGCTCAGGAAATTAGAGTTTCAGTCTTAAGAGAAAATTTATTGTTCCATGTTGACAGAGCCTACATTTTAACATACAAAAAGATAGGTTATATCAATGATATATTAAAAAAAAAAAAGTTGTTTTATGTAACAAACAACTATACATAAATCAGCTTGACAAAAATGAAATTAAAAGTGGATAACAAACAAACATTGCATCCTCATGCTAGGGCTGGGAATTAGAGAGCACTTTCTGTGTGCCCTGTGATCAAAATGGGTCACCTTACATCAGGCAGGCAAGTGCTGTTCTCTCATGTGTGACAACAGGCAAAAGAGCAGCACAGGGGATTGCAACCACCACGTCTCTCCCCACCACCCTGTATGTCACATATTTATGATACTGCCTGGCTTGGAGCTGATGGAGTTACAGTTTTATATCTTTCAGCTGTGGAACAAAAGTGGGAAGGAAACATGTTATTTTATTTGTGGGTTGTCTTCTGCTCTTCTGCTTCATAAGCAGATGTATTTGTGTACATTAATTAAACTACATCATCATAGATGACGGGGAATGAATAGTTTTATTTGCTTTAGTGTCATCTACATAAACACCCCAAACCCACACAAATGTGTTCAAAATCTCCTCTGAGGCAGGAATGTTGAACAGAAACATGGATTAATGGTGCATAAATATTCCAAGTATTCAGACTGCCTCCAAAAACCTCTGGGCTCTGGCTAATGAACACATAATACAACAGGTTAAATGTAAGAAAGAAAAATTATAGCAATCAGAACTGTAAGGATTTGCATCAGAAGAAGAGGGAAAGCGTGGCTAAATTCCCATTTTGAAGGCATGTTACAATTCAGCGCCTCCTCTCCCTACCAGCTGTGTTTAATTTGCAGGATTTCAAAATGCCTTCGAGACCTATCATAAATACAGCCATAGCTTAAACACCAAATGCACGGCTTCAGAGAAAGTCTGTTTGCAGATAACACTTTAATCACCATTGCCCATTCAGAAAGAGCCTGCGAAGACAGGATTTAAAGCAGATCGGCAAATGGTAGTAGCCACAAGGCTCTCTCCCTGCCTTTATTTTCTTCCTTCTCCCTCTCTCCACCTTTCCTCACTTTTTTCCAGCCTCAGCATCCCCTGTGTTGCTGCCCACCGGCTGCCCCTCATCTCTGCTGCTGATGGAGGGCAGCTTGGGGACACGTGGGGTACTTCACGATGCCGTGCTTTGGGCTGCACTGGCCACTAGAATGAACGATGGATGCTCTCATTTGCTTCTCTCCTCTTCAGAGGAGGAAGAGCATCTCCCTTCAGGGAGAGAAGGATGAGAGAGAAAAGATATTTATGAGTTTAGAAAGAATTTAATAAAAATATGAATAAATAAAAAGAAAAAGAAAATTATGATATATATAAAATATATACAAAACCAGTATGGAAATGCCATGATTTGGGCTGCACTGGCCACTAAAATGAACGACGAATGCTCTCATTTACTTCTCTCTTCTTCAGAAGAGGAAGAAAATCTCCCTTCAGGGAGAGAAGGATGAGAGAGAAAAGATATTTATGAGTTTAGAAAGAAACTAGACTACTTTAATAAAAATATGAATAAATAAAAAGAAAAAGAAAATTATGATATATATAAAATATATACAAAACCAGTATGGAGTTTCCAGGATGATGATCACGTCACCCACAGACACTGGGGAAGTCCCAGACTGGACTCAGCAATGAATGGCAACTGGATTCTGGGTCTGGATTCAGGAATGCACGACTCTGGATCAAAGGCATAGGAAGAGAGTCCTCCTTGGACACCAGCCATTGAAACTAGACTACTTTAATAAAAATATGAATAAATATAAAAAGAAAATTATGAAATATATAAAATATATACAAAACCAGTATGGAGTTTCCAGGATGATGATCACGTCACCCACAGACACTGGGGAAGTCCCAGACTGGACTCAGCAATGAATTGCAACTGGATTCTTGGTCTGGATTCAGGAATGCACGACTCTGGATCAAAGGCATAGGAAGAGAGTCCTCCTTGGACACCAGCCATTGAACAAAGAGGCTGATCCTCTGATCCCTCAGCTTTTATACTGACCATGATGCAGATGGGATGGAATACCCTGTTGGTCACTTTTGGGTCACCTGTCCTGTCCGTTTCTCTGTGTGTGACCTCCTCTGTGACCCCTCCACGCCTTTCCTCTTCTGACCCTCCAACTGGGCAAATAACAAAGCGAGCTGACCTTGGTTGTTATAGCAATAAGTATAAGCAAGAGCCTCTCTACATACCATTCCTTGGTATAAATTATAAACAATCAGGTCTTATCACTCTGGAAGAAGATACTGTTGGAGAAATATGCCATTACTTTCAGAGAGTTCACTTAGTTAGAAGAGGCTTAACTGAAGAGTAAAATTAGTAAACAGAAAATTGCTTCTGCTTTACCTCAAACCAGGACACACGAGAGGACACCCAGGAGCAGTTAAGGCAATGGAAGCCGTCAGCTGGGGCTGTGCTGCACGGGCTGGGGAGCAGGGGAGGTGCAGACACGTGCCAGGGGTGGGGAGCCCTGTGGTGGCACTGGCCGGGGGACAGCAGCGTGCGTGGGGTACGGAGAGGCACTGCGCTGCACAGAGGGGAACGGTGCCCAGGGGAAGTGTCGTGCTCTGCCATGGGGCTGCTGGCAGAGACCACTGTGCAATGTGGGGGTGATGCTTTGGGTGGAGAAGCTGAGGAGAAAACTGCTCAGAGAGTTCGGCATCCTGGCCTTTATCAGGAATAGCGTGGCCAGCAGGAGTAGGGAAGTCATCGTGCCCCTGTACTCGGCACTGGTGAGACCTCACCTTGAGTACTGTGTTCGGTTCTGGGCCCCTCACTGCAGGAAGGACACTGAGCTGCTGGAGCATGTCCAGAAGAGAGCCACCAAGCTGGTGAGGGGTCTGGAGAACAACTCATACGAGGAGAGGCTGAGGGAACTGGGCATATTTAGTTTGGAGAAGAGGAGGCTGAGAGGGGACCACATTGCTCTCTCCAACTACCTGAAAGGAAGTTATAGAGAGGTGGGTGTTGGCTTCTTCTCCCAAGGGAATAATGACAGGACCAGAGGAAATGGTCTGAAGTTGTGGCAGGGGAGGTTTAGATTAGATATTAGGCAGAATTACTTTATTGAGAGAGTGATCAGGCACTGGAACAGCCTGCTCAGGGAGGTGGTGAAGTCATCATCCCTGCAGGTATTTAAGAAACGTGTAGATGTGGCTCTTCAGGGCATGCTCTAGTGCCCGAGATTGTTGGTTTGTGTCTGTCTGTGGGTGGGTGTGGCGTGTGGGGTTTTGTTTTGTTGCGGTTGGACTGATGATCTCAAAGGTCCCTTCCAACCACGAATATTCTGTGATTCTGTGTCTGTGAGTTATTCATGAATGTGACTCCAAAGCATCATCCTGAACCCAGGAAAATGGTTCTTTATCCTTGATCTTAAAAATACTGAGTGTTCAACCTGTCCTAAGTCAGTAGGAAATAACAGGCAAAGCCCTTCTACCAAGATTTAATGTATCTGCAACTTCAAGAATGTAAACCAGAAATTTCGCTTGCATCCAAATACCTTATAAAACCTTTTTGTCAGTGCACTGATGCTTTTCTTACAGGAATTAGTCTTGCACTTGAGCATTTTATTGAAATATTTTTTGTTTAATTCCTGTGGCAAAGCAGCACAGGGAAACAGTCTCTTCTCTAGCTATCAGTACATAGTTATGCATTCATTTAAAGGAAATAATTGCTCTAAAATTTTTGTTTAAACAAGGTTCATAAAGAGGACAACTAAATTTTCTATTCAGTACAGAGGAAAAAAAAAGTTTATTTGTCGAAATTATATAGTAGAAACCACATAGCAAAATGAAATGCTATATTTGGAACTGTAAACACAGTCTCTATCACCCTATTGAAACTTTGGAACATTTTCTAGATGAGTTTACAAAGCAAGGAATGATCTGGTAATTTTCATTGCTGATGGAAATTATGGGCTGGGAGAGGCAAATGAGACATGCAGTACATTAGAGACCAAGACACACATACAAGAGCTGTAGTTAAAATGCAGGTACTTGTTCCTTAACCTAAAGTTTATATCAAGAAAGTGGGAGTTCATGATTTGTAGTAGTAATAGTAGTAGTAATGCTATAAGAAAAATCCAGAAGGGCACTGACACCATTCAAATTTAAATTGCTGTCTATTCTTCACAGGTTTTTAAAAATCATGCTGGGAGTTGGAAACAAATTTTTAGCCCAGGCCAGCAGTAGAATCTTTTATGAATTAAATAATTTCTCATATTTTGTGAACTGAAAAAAAACCAACAACTTTTATAGCCTTATTTATCACACCTACCTCAACAAATATGTGCTTTTATCCAAAAATGCCTAGTATGCCTTCCTATAGCTGGTTCAGATTGTAAACAACGGGGTGATTATCTGCAGTTCTAAAACGTAAGTGGTGAGGAAGCAAAGGTGCAAATATATTTTCATTTCAGAAGATTTTATACACAAAGACAGAATTTTGGAGAAGGAAAGTGATTTTTAATTAAAGAGCTAAAAGAATAATATCAGAAACAGAACTTACATCCTAGAGATGTTGGGGAGATTGGAAAAAGCGTCACTTGGAATTGTTCTTAGATGAGTCTCCATAAACCTCCTATAGAAATAAAAGTTTCACAGTTAATATCCTTTAGTAATTACAATTTAACATTCAAAAGTCCTACGCAACTCCAGCTCTGCTCCAATATTTCTATTCTTATCTTCCCTTTCCCAACGTTTCCATCTTTGTCTCATCTCTGTTCCTGTTTCATTGTATGGCTTGGTCTGTCCTACGAAATCAGCGTTCAGTGGTAATGATGGACCTTCCAAAACTCCAGAGCATGACTGGCTTATCAACAACCAAATTCTTAATAGGATGAATCTCTAGCAGACTGAATCCTCCAAAAAAGGAGGAAATGCTTTGGAAAAATTAGCCTATTACATCTCTTAAACTTACAATCTGTCATTGCTGGTTGAGGTAATCTTTGTTTTTTCAGTATGTCTAGGAATACACTTACATAATTTATAGTTGATGAATAGTCTAAAGAATAATCAAGAACATATGAAAAAATTTCCCCATAGCTTCTGTTAAAGAGCAGTTCAGTAGAAAAGAACTAAATAAATTAAGATGATTTTCTAATTTTATTTTCTGTTTCATAATGCGAAGTACCTGATTATAATAATTATATTTGATTTAGACAGACAAAATATTATCATCTTAAGATTTATCAAGTTTCTGAAACTTGCACACAAGAAATAAAAATATCTGTAGAAATTCTTAAACCTTCCATCTTAAGTAAAAATATAAATTAAGAGAATGTACACTCCTATCATTGGAGGAGAAGGCTCTCTGCAAAATTGCAAGAAAATGTTTCAGAAAAACATTTTAAGTTTTATAGGATGACATTTCATTTGCATTTCTTTGTTTCATAGGTCAGAAAGTCAGTCAGTTTGAAGTTTTTAAAATGTTCTTTCTGCTTTTATATTTACACCAAAAGTTTAGCCTATCTATTGCATCTATCAAGACAATGAAACCTGAATAACTGATAAGGAACATATTAGACTGCTTGGGCAGAACTTTGCAATTTTGCTTTCCTGTGCCCCAAACATCTGTCAACCTGGAATGTAAGGAGTTTCTTGGTCAAAAATCAAGTACTACAAAAATCTCTAACTTTAACTCCTTTCTGATCTTCCCAAACAATCTTTAGCAAAGACACTGTTTCCCAAAGTTATCCTAGCTAGTTTCATTAATGAGAAAAAGAAGCTTTTAAAAGAAGTATAAGACCATATAGACTCAAAATATTTTATATCTTCATAGAAACAACCCTGGTTTTGACTAACTTAGAAATACAGGTATATCTAAGTGGAGATTGTGACGTATTCAAACTTAAACATATTTGCTTCATTTTAATGACTGCACAGTGCCAATGCACAGAGCAATGCTCAAGCATCTGGTAGATAATGTCTCTTCTCCCTTAAGGACTATTTCTAAGGAGTATTTCTAGTACTGCTAAACACTGATTGATTATATGTGTTCTATGTCAGTTAAACCAGTGTCCTATTTGATAATGCACCAAGGAAATCTCTTCTTGGGGTGGCTGGTGCCTACGCTCCTATCAGCTAGGAGCTAACTAACTAGGAATTAATATTTTGTTGGTTTCAGTATGAATTACTCCTATCACATCACAGCCATAAGAATAGACAGCTTAAGCCAGGAATAAGACAGTGAAACTAGAATGAGCCCTGTAAACTAAGCAGGTGGCATTAATTAAAATGGAACTAGTGACATTAGCAGGTGGCATTAATTAAAATGTAACTAGTGATGTTAATTGCCTTCTGTATATTCTGTTGTCTCACGGTTATTTTTTCTTATTTTAGACTGCACTTTAAAAAATCTATAAATAGTAATTCATTAATATATGTAATTTACAGGTGATTTGAAACAAGGTGTGCTGGTTTTGGCTGAGATAGTTAATTTTTTTCATAGTAGCTAGTATGGGGCTACATTTTGGATTTGCACTTAAAACAGTGCTGATGATACAGGGATGTGTTAGTTACTGTCGAGCAGCGCTGACAGAGTCAAGAGTTTTCTGCTCCTCACCCCACCAGCAAGGGCTGGGAAGGAACAATAAGTTGGGAAAGGACACAGCTGGGACAGCTGACCCCAAGTGACTGAAGGGCTATTCCATACCATGTGACATCATGCTCAGTATATAAAGCAGGGGGAAGAAGAAGGAAGGGACAGGTGTTTGGAGTTATGGCATTTTGTTTTCCCAAGTAGCTGTTACTCGTGTTGGAGCTCTGCTTTCCTGGAGATGGCTGATCACCTGCCTGCCAATTGGATGCAGTGAGTGAATTCCTTGTTTTGTTTTGCTTGCATGTGTGGCTTTTGCTCTTCCTATTAAACTGTCTTTTTTTCAATCCACAATTTTTCTTACTTTTACTCTTCCAATTCTCTCCCCCATCCCACTGGGGTGGAGTGAGAGAGTGGCTGTGTGGTGCTTAGCTGCCAGCCGGGGATAAGCCACAACACAAGGTAAAAGTAATTATGATAGAAATTAAAAAAAAAAAACCCACAAAAATATTTCACTAATAAATCAAGATTAGAAAACCAGGATAAAAGCTTTAGTCATATATGAAACAGTACTTAACTCTTCATATAGATTATAGTTCTTGACTAGCCATTTAACAGCCCTCTATTTTCATGTTAAGCAAAGCCATAATTATATCTCAGAAGCTAGGAGTTCCTCACTTCTACTTGTGCATTTAAGCCAGAATAGCATCATAGCTGACTTTTTTTCCCACTGAATGCTAAATACAGTTAGAGAAAGACTAGCACCAAGGAGTTACAACAAAATTCAAATGGAACTGTTTAAAATCACAGTACTCTTTTGACTACACGTATGTACAGGAATAGAATTTGGCCTATGACTTACAAAAGTCAGTGTTCAGCATATAAGGAAGTTAAACTGAAAACTTTGATAGGTATTTCATTTCTTACAGGTGACCGTTTTCAAACACTTGAAACTGGTGAATATCAGAAGTACTTAGCAACTAGGACCAAAGAAACATCACAGTTTTTTTCATTTGAGAGGTACAAGTAATCTGTGTGTATATGTAACAGCCATAGCCTCTGCCTGTGTACATTTGACAACTACATTTCTATTACTGTCTTGTATTAGAGCAAAAAATAATCCAGGGGAAAATGTAGGAGAGGTGTGCATCCACTTCAGTCACACCTATTCATCTGATGGCGTCTGCTGTTAGTGCTAGTTATGTAACCAAAATACTATTAGAGTGAGAACTTACAGATATAGACGTGATAGAATACATGAAAACTTAAACAGAAAACATTTCTATTGCTCTCTTTATAAATCACTTGAAAGCTTTATTTCTGTTTGCGGATGAATTATAACTCAGTGCTGAAGTTCTTACAATAGCTTGAAAGCATATGTAATATAATATCTAATACCTTACAGTAACACATCTATAAAAAGCACTGGTCTTTTCAAAAGACTTTTACAACTGTATTTAGGTTGTACAACAAGCCTGTTGGGTTCGGTGCCTGTTGTGGGGGTTTTGGAGGCTTGTGTTTCTCAAGCACGAGACTGTTCATCAAGACAGGGCAGCAGAAGAAGGGTGTCCTTCCTATCTGTCACCTCTGAAAGACCTGTGGAAGGAGCATTCCTTCTTTGAACAACACGGACCATGACTACTTCTCACCCCCATCCCTCAGGTACCCTATACCAAGCCCAGATCAGGCTAAACAGCCATCTCTATCACCTGAGTCCACAGAGAAGGAAAAAAAAACAAGGAGTGGTAAATGAAGAAGCTTAACACTTAGCTGCAGAGTAAGAGATGGGAGGAATTGCATGAGGATTTTGGTAGATTTAACTGCCAATTAATTAATTAACTACCAATTTAATAGTCAAACCTTGTTCCTTTGCTAGATATTGACAGAAGTGGCTGGACAGTTTGGGTCTTTACTTCTCAGTTCTTTTTCATGTACAGACTAGCATATTAATATGAAATTAAATCAACATAGACTTAGATTGGTAAACTGGCCAGGGACCTGGGTGATGGAAAAATGATACCCATTCACTGTTCCTTAACATCCCATTTGACAAGGCCCTTGATCAGATAACCTTAGGGGAGCAGATACTCTCTTTCCGCATATCTTTACAGGTAACTGACATGATTGCTCTGCATAATATAACAACAGAGAATATTTTTTTTTCTTAAATACTTTTAAACTTTTCATGTCTGAATCCCTTAAATAAAAAACAACCCCTAGTTCTGAACTTCCTTTATTTAATCAAGCAATGAACACCCCATGAGGAAATACATATATTGTAATGCAAATGGAAGCACTTGCCTAACTACATGTATTAATCTGTTCACTTAAGGTATGTATTCCAATATCTATTACATTAATTCAACATTGATGCTGTGTTTGATTTCCCAAAACTGGGGAACTCTGGGAAGAAAAGCTGTACAAAGTATGTAGCACTTAGTTTAAAGTACCATTTATTGTATACATTAGATTTTACCCCAGTCTCACACCTTTTCTTGATGCTTCAGCATTTCAGTGCACAACAGCCTAACAAAGAACTCCACCTTACAAATTCGGAAAACGTCTGCTCTCTTGGGTGAAGGTGGTGAGACACTGGAACAGGTTGCCCAGAGAAGTTGTGGATGCCCCATCCCTGGAAGTGTTCAAGACCAGGCTGGATGGGGCTTTGAGCAACCTGCTCTAGTGGGAGGTGTCCCTGCCCATGGCAGGGGGGCTGGAAATAAATGATCTTTAAGGTCCCTTCCAACCTAACTATTCTATGAGTTCAAGGCCTGATGGTTCTTTCTTCCCCTTCGCTATCTCTTGGAATTCGAATCTACTCCCTGGAGTGCGATGGCTGCACCATCCCATCTCACAGACCACTGCTGCACCCAGATCCACAGAAATAATTTTTAACAAGGGACCTGATGTTGTGCTCCAGTAATGGCAGAGAAGGAAGCCCTTCTTGCTCAGTCACAGCCTGCCTGCAGCAATCCTTGCGGTTAACGCGAAGCCCTAAATAAGGATGCAAAAGGCATCTAGTTGGCCACACCAGAGCTAAGAGG